GCTCTGTGTGCATTTGTATTTTAAAACTGGGTCACAATCAGTCGTCCAAATGAAAGTCCAACAACAGAATGTCACTTAAAGCAGATTTTTTTTTTTTCCTGTGGTTCTTTAAAAAGTTATAATATTTTAATATTTAGAAACAGCTTTATCAAATTTAAATTTCTGTCAATCTGTCAACTTAAATGTTAATCAGTTTTACTACATCAGAAATCTGGATCCTCTTTAGATAGTCTGAAAGACCCCATTCATCTAACAGATGCGTACACTCACACTTACCTCATCCAGATGTAGAGCTGTGAAAATAAAGCAGATTGCTTCAGAACAACACATTCATGCTTCCTGCTTTGGAGTTTTTAACTGTAGGCTGTGCATTAATTCCATTGTCGTGTATGAATTCCTGTGTCGGTACACATCTTTCAAACCTCAATTTTGCTGCTCTGTTTCCCTGATCAGCTGGCGTGTGCACTCCTGAACATGTCCCAAGACCCATGTTCTCTGAGTTCTCTTTGTCTCAAGTGAATTTATCATGTGTCTGTCCACTCTGACAGTTATTGTTTAGGAGAGCTGCAGGCTTCTGTCAGCATGCATAATGACAACTGATATGGAAGTGTCTGTGCATATGTGAATGTGTGAGCACTGGTCCTTTGTTTGGTGAGGGGGAGGCTGCACCTACGGTCCCCTTTGTTCACCGTCCCTCTGGCTTCCTCTCAGGGACCTATGCAGTAGTTGTGACTAAGGGCTCAGCAGTTTCCGTTATATTGGTCATATTTTTTTAAGTCATGTTTTTTGCAGTTTTGAATGTTTTCCAAATATGTCCATGTGGTTAAGACTGTTCTCCGATTATTATCATTCTTGTTTATTTATGACATAAGATCACATTTCCCACAAATTCTGATCATTGTCAGAAGGTTTGGATTTTCTACAGGTCTCTGGTCTTAATTGTTCTTATAGAACTTTGCAATCTGGAGCTTGTGTACTGCTTATTTTCTGTTGAGTCCATTGTCATAAGAAACTACCAGATACAGTATTGGAGTGATGAGAGACTTAAAGGTGCAGAATTTTTTTTAGTCATTAGTTTGGTAGAAATGCATTTTGTAGTTGGTGTATTAAGACAGAAATTCGATTATCTCATTATAACTTCAGTGTTTGAGGTGTTCAAGTAACATATGCAAAGTGGACACACGTAATGGAGTCAAGAAAAGACTCATTTTATTGGTAATGAGATTGCCTAACTGCAGCTGTGGTGATCCTTCTGTGCTTTTTACATGCTACCCTCTGTGTGGTCCACAACTGCAAGCACACATAGACTCTGATTTTCATGCTTTTTAAAATCAGTTACTTTTTTTCTGTTTTTGCAAACTATTTCACTTGTGCATGTGTTTTTCAACGTAAACATAACATGAATTTCTACCCCATCTATCCTTGGAAGTGCACACGTGTAGCATTAGTCTGTAAAGTGCTGACTGTGGGGAACAGTGCAGCTGCAGGACGACAGTTTTGGCAACACTAACCGACTGCCATGGTGACATGAGAGAGAGAGGAGGGAGAAGAGTTGAATAGTCAGTGAGAAGGGAACAAAGAACAGGAGAGGAAGAGAGGCTACCAGTCTCTATTTAAGTGGTCTTACAATAAAGAGTGAAGAAAAAGTTTGTAGGATGTAAACTGTTCCTACTTTTTTTTTGTTCTTTGAAATGTAGTGTGTTAGTTTATTGGCATCCAAGCATTTGCCCAGATGAGCACAAGCTGTCACTTGCCCTCTTTGTCCCCCCCACACACTTTGTAGTGAATTCTCACTACTATCATGTGACAATTAAAATATAACGTCAAAGTATTGTTTTCATTGTTTCATTGGTGGCTGTGGCTTTTCTTTCTTTTTTTTTGCACTAGCCAGTTAGATATACTAGCATGTCTGTAATTAGCATCAAATCAATTATTGTGCATTTTGCTTGCTCTGCTCCCCCCAGTGGGCAAATGTTGTAGGTTTAAGTCCTCATAGTACTGGGAAAAATGTCTTCTTTTTTTTTTCCATAGAAGATATGAATTAAACACATTAGTCACCCCCGACCTAGTGGTGAGTGATATACCCTCAAAATGATATCACAATATTTCAAGAAAATTTGTGATGAACAATAGTTCTAATAATATTGAAAAAATGCTGAACAACGATTGTTGCAGCATTTATAAGCCCAAGTAAATTCAGAACATACCCAATGGTTCTTTTCCAGTGAGCTACTGTCATTGATGTAATACCTAATTTGAAGTGTGATTGTAGTCCTGCAATGTGCCAGCAGCAACCTTATTGTGGATTAGTAGTGACACAGCACCAGTCGAACCTAAGGACAAAAGTTACCTATGTAGTATTTAGCATAAACATTTTAACTATAGATTGCTTAAAAATAACAGAAATAACTTAACAATGTAACCATTTGTTGTTGTGAGTGTTAGCATTCAACGGACAGTGAGTGGTGATGTGCACGTGCACACAGAAGTCCAGGTTTTATTCAGCCCTTCCTCACATTCAAGCGTCTGTTTCTGCTGTCCGTGCGTGCGTGTCTTGAGGTAATTTGTGAGGCCAGAGTGTTCCTAAATGCTGCTGACTCTGGCACGTGAGCACTCTGCAGGAGGAGCCCACTCCATTTCAGTACATTCATCAGGTTACTTTCTGTTTTTAAATGACACCTCCCACATCAGTACTCCGTTGAGAGCGAGAGAGAGATAGTACACTGCTGGTCCTTAAATTGTGTCCAGATGTGCTTGGATACTTGGAAACTTTTGCATGTGTTTGTTTGTTTTTTGTATTATGTGTCATAGTCAGGTTAACTCTGTTTAGCACGCAGCATGGCACCAAACAGGTTTTTTAGAATATGTGCTGGTTTATAACATCAGTGTTCAAAAACAAAAAGCTCTGAAACTACCATCAATCCCGTTTGACTGACTGGTCAGTGTATGAGTAGACTGTCATACTGTTTTACTTGACTTGAGGTGAAATGTTTTCTATATAATACATTTTTTCACACTTAGCAATCAAATAGAGATTTGAATCCCATAGAAGTTTCATGATAGCCCCATAAATTGCAACACAGAAGTTGAAGCAGACTCAGTAATGTTAACCTTTATTTCATGCATTCAGTCTTTGTTTATTTTTTTGTTAGACTGTATAGTATTTCACAAAATCAGTTAAATATATTGACTTTTCTTCAGTTTGTATTTCCATTTGATACTTACATTTGTTTAATGACTAAACCTTGTGAAACATTATAGATTGATCCCGTTGACCAAAGGCACTCCTGTTATGTTAGTTTTACTCAAACTGAACTAAGCTCTTTAAGTGACGTAAAAGTGAACATTTATGGGGGTGGCTGTAGCTCCTGAGGCAGAGCAGGCCATCTGCTGATCGAAAGGTTGGTGATTCGATCCCTGGCTCCCCCAGTCTGTATATGTTGGGCAAGACACTAACCCCAAGTTGGTCTCCAATGCATCCATCAGAGTATGAATGTGCGTGAATGGGTGATTGCGACATGTTGTATAAAAGGCTTTGAGAGCTCTGGGAAAGTAGAAAAGTAAAAAATGTATAAGAATCAGTCCATTTATAAAGAAGCACTTAATAACAGGACAACAACCTATTTTTATAGCAAAACCTTTAAGTTATGGGTTTATACAGCTTGATCTTCATAACCGTTGAAAACCAAAACACAATGGGAAGAATGCAATTTAGAGTTTCTGTTAGAGTTCTCAGTCAAATTTAACACTCTTATGATGCAATGACAATGGCTACAAACAAACGAGCGGAAGGTCCAGAGTTCCCCATTACAAACCTAACAGGAGAATGAATTTAATGACAGGAGAAGATATGAAAACATGAGGGTTTCCACATTTAACAAACCTCAGCATTCCTGCTGAGCCCCGGGAACACTCACGTGAAAGTTGACCTGCGTGTGTGGTTTCTGACATAAGGCATAATTACTATGATATATGGGCTCTTCACTTGTGATTAATAACCATACAGTCACCAGCTGCACTGCTACAGTGTTTATGTGGTGTGGTTATGAGTACAGTTCCTGTGGATCATCTACATAAAAAGAATGTGTGCATATTAAGGATTTAATGCAGGTCTTAATGCTCAATTTCGATTTTTTGATCAAATCCGATTTTTTTGTCTGCTTGTTCACACTACAAATAAAATGTGACAGCAAACGCGCTCTAGTATGAACCCTCAAAGCGCCCCGGCCCGCATGCGCAAAAGAAGACGTCACACACAACGCGGTCTGTTTAGACCCAGACCAAACAGTATTGTTTGACTGATGGCCCTTAATATAAAGACTTCGGACTTTACGTTTCCCAATTTTGCTTTAAGTTATTTTGTTATTTTGTTATTTATTATTAATTATTTGGCCTAATAATTATCCTTATTGCTGTTTTAGAGGAGCGGTGCTTCAAAGGACAATTGGAAATGTCTGTCAGAATCTGCAGATTATACAGTACAAATAAAATGTTCACGTTTCTCCAACGTTGTCTTTCCAACAGTTTCACTAACATCTACATTGTATGGCCAGGAAGTGTTCACGATGTCTTCTCCGGCGCTGATAATTGGCGTCTGTCTTGTGTCAGTGACATAGAAGACGGATTTAATGCGACATAACCGTTCAAACAGCAGTCGCTTTCTAAAACATCAGATATGTATCTGATTCAGTACTACATACGAAAGTGACCCAGATCGGATTTGAAAATATCGGACTTGTGCCGTTCACACTGTCATACCATGATCGGATATGGGTCACATAGGGTCAAAAAAAGTCGGATTTGATGCGATTTTGCCTGCAGTGTGAACGTAGCCTAGAAGGCTGCAAGGTACCATACATTTTTGTGTATGGTTGTGCAAAGTAGTATTTCTAAATACCATCAGCTGTAGACTGATGGTACTGTGTGCAAATATCATGTACATATGAACTGTTATACACACAGTAATTGTAATACTTGTTTGTTTTTGGTTTTTTTCCTAGCCCTTCCTCCAAAGCCAACCAAGCCTCAGCAGCCCTCCTCGGTCGCAATGGCAGGGGGCAGCAGCAATGTCGCCAAGGATGGAGGAGCGGGAGGCTCCTTACAAGAGGCCGAATGGTACTGGGGTGACATATCCAGGTAGCAAACACTGTGTTACTGACAGAAAAATCAGTGAGAGCTTAACAGTGACATTGTTAGGTTACATGAAATGCAGACGTGGGAGGCTTGGCCCCTCCCCCAGCAACACAAGACCTGCACTGACAGAAACTAAAGGCATGTTCTATGTGCAGACATGGTCAGCACATTTTAGACATCTTAAAAAAGCAAATATGGGTATTATCAGTGCTTTACCTGTTGTCAAACCACAAAATAATAGGAGTTCTAGTTGTGCCACAGCTGGTCAGTTGTCTGACATTGATGTTTGTTTGGTTCTAAGCTACCAACATGTTTCAGAGTCTCAAAATGACCAGTAACACTTATTTTTCATTAGGGTAAATATTATATTTGTCATTGTTGTCTGGTGGCTTTGAAATGAGCATTTCCTGTTTAGCATGTTGTTTAGCATCAATTGAATCTTAACTCAGAGTATCAGGTTATTATTCTTTGTTAGATATCACAGCACTGTCTGTCCATCTATGCTGCAGGAGAACTTTGACAGTGAGCTTAAAGTCTATAGCGACAGTAGGGGCAGTGCTCCACCAGAGTTTTTTTATATGCTTTATGTTATACACCATCATATTAGTAAACTATATAGTGTAATTCTATGTTTCTTTGGTTTGTTTGTTTGTTTTATATGTCAATATATTTTGAAACTTTGATATACTCTGACCACCAGAGATAACTGACAAGTTTATTTCTCAGCTCGGTAAATTGTCTTTACTGTTAAGGTCACTGCTTTACTTTAAGTGCAGGTTAGCTGTTCCACAAACAGTGATAACCACACCTACAGTGCAGACAGTCAGTCTGCCACTCACGTACTTATCCTCAGCTGAGACACTGCTGGCTAGGATCACCCCTCCCTGCACTGCTAATTGACGGATTGTTTACTTTGAGGTGTGTGGTTATAAAGAAAGTTCTACTCGCCTGCCACTGATGATTGAAGGCAGACTTTTCCAAATGAACACCATCTGTGCATGGATCACTCAACCAAGTCAAACACCCTTTTTTTTCTTCCTCTGTTTCTCTTTTGTCTTCAGGGAGGAGGTGAATGATAAGCTCAGAGACATGCCTGATGGGACTTTCCTGGTTCGG